CACGCACAGTCCTACTGATCTCAGACTTTAGCTTAGTGCTGACCTTAAACACAAGGCCCAGAACTGGGGCAGGTCCCCAGCCCCTCCCCAGGCAGTCTTTTCAGGAATACACAGCCCCTTTCTTTCACAGACCCTCGCCTTTTTCCACAGTGGTTGCTCTCTCAGAGAAGAGAGTGAGGGGGACACAACCTCTGCTATTTCTGAGCTGTTAGAAAAACCCCATCCTTGTAGTAACCCTCTAAAATACAGCTGTTACTAAGTCAATCAAGAGCTGGAACGTTATGACCTTCTCCACAGCAGAGCAGAGGGGTTACATTTATGAGCTAACCTTTGATGTCTGCAAGCTTCATGTGGTACAAAAACCTGCTTTGATGTTACTTTTAAAAGAGAGGAACCTCAGGTGTGCAGTGCACGAGTCCCAGGGAGAACCTGGATCTGGCCGCTCACCACTGCAGACACAGGGACTGAGCTCTAATGCAGCTACTTTTTTCCCCTGGCTCTGCTGCAACGGAGAGAAAATGTGACCAAACGCGTCTCTCACCTTCACCAGCTTCTCCCAGACCAAACCAGGCACCCACAGCCCTGAGTATTCTCTCAGGAGCTCCAGACCTGACCCCAAAGGTGGAGAGGACCCTGCCCTTGCCCGTCCCCCAGACCCAGGCAGTGCCGGTCCCTCTCCTCCCGGCGACCATCAGCTACGGCTGGGAAATATCCCGACTTCATGGCGCCACAGGAGGGTAAGAAAGCCCATTTCTCTGCTCCACAGAGACACAACCCTCCCGGTGTGAGCTCTCCATCGTGTGCAACCCCAGGCTCTCGCACAGCAGCGGCAGGGAGGTCTCAGCTGCACAGAGGGACCTGCCGCGGGCCCTGGCACGCTCTCCTACCTTATGCAGCACCTGGGCCATGGCTTCTCCTATCCATCCCAGCATGCCCACGGCTTTGCCAACAGGCTGAACCCCTCTCCCAGGGCCCGACAGAGCTGCCAGCAGGGACAGGCTCCTCTTCATCCCCAAGCTCACTTTGCCTCCCTTACTTTTCCCTGCCTCCCCTCCCCTCTCCCGCCTCCTCCCATAGGGAGTTTCCCAGCAGCTCAGTAATTAGCATCATCATCACCAATGTTAATAACACCACCACAGCTCCTGCCATCCAAAGCTCAAACAACTTTACAACCATCATCCCGCCTCTGTAACCTCCCCGGGGTAGGCAGGGAAGCAGCATTACCCCATCGCACAGCTGGGGAAGGAGGTGGTAAACAAGAGGCAGTGGTGGCAGACGGGCAGCAAACCCGGGAGCTCTGACTCAGGCACCGCTCCCGCAGGACTCCCTGTCCCAGGGACCTGCCCGCTGCAGAGAGGCCCCTTCGGAAGGAGGCCAGTGGCTGTGCTGACAGCAGGACTTATCCTGCTCAGTCTGGGAGTCCTGGGATGAGTTTTTGTCCCGGGCATCCCCGAGCACAGCTCTGCAGAAGGACCGTGGGAGAGCAGCACACAGGATGTGCAGCCTGCGTCCACACCTCCTATGGGACAGTGGGTATTGTGGCATCCCATAAAAGCACCTTAAATCAAGCTCACCTCTAATTAAGGACTTGCTGTTTACTGATGAATTAAAGAGGATTTTTCCTTTGAGCAGTGACAAATGAGGAATTTGTGGAGATTCTTGTCTTGGGCGGGGTTTGCTACATTTGATTTAATGAGTCTCACACGGATGGGAATTACAGCTTTTCAAATAAGCCCACCCACACTCCCATACAACAGACCGATGTGGCCCTGGTGGCCCTCTGACAGACGGGGACAAACGCAGAACACAGGACAACACTTCACTTCCGACAAGTACCTGCAAGGCGACGTTGACTTTAAACATTCTGAGGTCTGGCCTACGCTGCAAAGTCAGGCTGGTGTAACTGTCAGCTGGGAGCCCCAACACAAACCGAAACTCACCTGAAGTGACCCAGCCTTGTCCACCAGAACATACTGCAGAGACGCTCTGCTGGCAGGAGAGCCCTTTCTGGAGGGTATTTCGTGTGTGGCAGGGCACAGGCTGAAGACAACCAGCTGGTGTAAGCCATGTGCCGGCGAGACTCGGTTGCCTGCAACGGGGGTGACGGACAGTTTATTCCTGAGCACGCACGCTGCTCTGCCAGGCACTGCAGGGATCAGGGCAGAATCTCAAATGCCTCCCGAGCCCCTCCAGCTTCTGCATTTCTGAGGCTGTTTCAGAAAACTATAGGGAAAGGGATATATATATATATATATATACACCTGCCTTCACTTTGGGGGTGCACAGGCAGGGGCAAACCCTAGCTGAGAGCTCCAGTCTCCTTGGCAAGGGAGGAAGGATGGCAGGTTGCCCCACTGAGAGCCACACCAGGAGGCTTCGGTGTCCCACCTACATTTTGCCAAGCAAACTCCCCTCTGCCATTCAGAGCATCTGCCTACGAAGACCGCAACCCTGACCACGCTAGGTAACTGCATGGCTATTGTCCTGAAGAAAAACGCAATGGAACACTTGTCCCTGCCATTTTTAGGAGATATGGTCCATCAGACACCAAATAAGGGGCATTCTTTAAAACAGAAGACAGGCAGTCACCGTTCTCCTCCAGCCATGAGCCTTGCTGAGTGCATTAACCTTTGGGATAAAACGGGATGTTCAGTGTCCACAAGGAGGAAGATACCATTTTTCACCCGCACGCTGCTGCTCTGCATATCCCGTTGAATTCACTCCACGCCGTTTTCCTACCACATGCACCAGGCATGCCTGGGAACGGAACTAAAAATGGACTCTCGGGGCTCAGCTCACAAATCCGGAGTAAGAGGGGAGTGGACACACAAGCGCTGCAAAGTCAGGGCACCCGGGGAAGTTGCCTTGTGAGAGGAGCTGGGGAAAGAATCTGCCTGCAGCAGTCAGGGAGAGCCCTGAGCCACCCCTCCGCACGAGCAAACCCTGGGCTTTGCAGCCCTGCTGCGCTGTCCCCCATCCCCTGACGGGGAGAGGAGCAGCACGTCCCTCTCCTGCTCACACACTCCCATCAGGGTTGGGAACAGCACGAACTGGAGGCGCCCGTGAGGCACCTCCTGTGACTGGAGCGTGAATGTCTCCACTTGCTCCTTCACGGACATTCACCAAGACCCCACGTGTACTGTCGCGAGGTCACTGGTGGTTGGCAATATCCCATGAGGCCTCTTCTTAGACACAGCCCGTGTACTCGCAACTACACTCCCGAGGAATGTTTTTTGCCTTGCTCTTGATGGCTTTTGTTTGGTTTCTGGCTGAACGTCTGAGTTAAAAATACAAGGCTATTTCTGGCAGAAGTCGGGTTTTTTTCTGCTTTTGTATTGCCTTGGATGCCCCTGTGCTGCTGTCTCCTTTCTGGCTCAGATGAGCTTTGTTTTCCTTCTCAATGATCATGTTTGCACCGACGAGCAGTAGGAAACGCTTTTCGTCTTAGAACATTTCCATGAGCACTGTTGGGAATGAAGAATGAGCTCAGAGAAGTCTAAAAAAAAACCTAGTTGGTGTAAAGATCCTGTCTCCAGTGGTCAGAGAACTGGAAACCAGGAATGTCTGTGGTCAAAAAGGGATGTGTATGTGCACACATGCACACAGGTACAGCAGGATGTGTTCCCCCCGTGACCTGTAGACCAGAAACAAATGACTCAATGCTAGAACACTTCCATGCACCCCCTCTCTACAGACAGGCTTCATCCCAAGCTCTACAGCTCAGACCCCTTCTTACCCAGCACCAAAATATTTTATTTCGCTTTTCTTAAATGCCAAGAAAAAAATAGGGCCATCTTTCCTGGCTTGGATTTATTCCATCTGGAATCACTGCATGATCACAGGGCTGTGATAGCGTATAAAGCAAGAGTCCAAATACTTTCAAACACCAGCGTGATCATTAGATCTTTGTTGTTACCCTCCATCTCCTGGCAACAACAAGATGAGGACTTGGGGCTTCTCACTGGAGATCACCAAGTTCAAATACGTCCAAGACCCTCCCACGACCCAGAAACATGCCACCGTCTGTGGGTGTGCTCCCTGTCTCCAGGACTGAGAACAAAGCCAGCACAGCTGCAGGAAGCCTCCCCAGTACATTGTATTTGCCACATGTCACAACAAACACAAACGTAACGGCCTAACAAACAGCTCAATTGTTCAGGCTAAAGACATCAAAAAGGCATGTGGAGAGCTTTCCAGGGCACGGATCCCCACCACCTTCCAGGGAGCCAAGCACAGACTGAGTCAGAACTCTTCAACACCCAACACAGGACTTGCTGCATGCCAGTAACCCATAAATCACTGACAGCAGGGCCAGCTCCTCTTGCCAGCTTCTGCTCTTTAGGAATCACGCTCCACCTACCTCGCTTCCAAAGAGGAGCTCCTAGACAACAATCTCCTATCATCCTGCCTAATGATTGATGAATTCAGAGACCACTCTGCACGTTGCCACTCTGGAGACCATCAATGTGATCAGGAGTTGAGAGGGAACAAGGACCTAAGGTCCCAGATTTGACAAAGGCAACCGGCATCTTCGATTCATCATCAAAAACCTGAGAAGTGCTCTGTTTCTTGAAGGCAACAAGCTCACTCCTTGTGAACACTGGGAGGCTGATCAAGTCAGGCTCCACAAAGCAACGGGTCCGAAGGTGCTGTGTTCGTCTGGAATTCAAGGCATCACGTCCTGACAGTCCCAAACTCGGGAAAGTTCAGGTCTAGATTCCCGTCCCTCGAGAGAAGGTTACAAATACGTCTGCTAAATACCGAGCTCTCACAAACCAGCTAATAATGGAGGTTGGTACCATTGTTCTGTTAAATGGACAGTGATGCTGAGGCCCAAAAAGGCAGAAAGATTTGCCTACAGTTGCCCAAACAGTCAACAGCAGAGCTAGGTACAGGCTGTTTTCCAATGCCACCCCCGTACCAGGTTAGAAATGAAATAAGAACAAACATGCTATAAAAACCTCTCGGATCAGTACTGGAGTAAAAAATCATCTTCCTACCGACTGTGACACCTGGACTCGGACTTCACTGGTATCCAGTGGCGACGTACTTGACCCCTGGGACTTTCTCTCTGAACTGGATTGGTGCTCTCGGTATTTCTTTGACCTCGCAGGTAAGGACAAGAACTCTTTTCCTGAGATCTTCATGTCTCCCACATGATGGCTGTCCCCATTCTGGTCCTTGGGAAAGCAAGAAACAGTCATTGCACAAACTGCCTGTCTGAGGTTTACGTGGAGATCTGTTGGCAAGTATCTACAGAACAGGAGACACACAGAAGCAAGAAGTTACTGCAGAATTTAGATGGTGTGAGTTAACGCCTGTCATGTGCGGGGTTGAATGAGGACATTTTGTCTATCTCTGCAGCGTGTGATTTTAACGAGCGGAGAGGAAGCATCACCCAAACAACACAGAGCAGTCAACTTCTCCACAGGGAGAAGGAGCATCCTCTTAAAAACCCCAAGTGTGCAGGTAGGAGCACGGCTGGTTTATTTAGAGGCATAGGGAATGAGGGATGAAAGGTCCAGGAGCAGTCGCTGCTGCTAGTGATTTTTGGCAACTACACTCATAAAAAGCTCTTCCGGACAGAGCGGCAAGCTCATCCCACCCAGGATACCAAACGCTTGGCACAAGTCCCTCCACTTGCTGTATCTTCACTTCTCCCCAGCGGCCGTGCCGCAGCCCACCCCGATAGCCCAACCACGCCCCAGGGAACGCGGCTACGCTAGACGCTCCACAGCATTTCCCACCTCTAGGATTTGGCTCCCGGCACAGATGGAGCATTGCCTGCCTCAGCATCTCCCACCGCCCTCAGCAAGAGGGGCCCTTACCCAAGGCTTTCCCGAAGGCAGATTAACGGGAATGGTTGGAGTCCCATTCAGCTCTTTTGCTCCTGCTACCCAAAGCACGTGGGGACTGCAGGGTAACACGACTAACTGCAGCAGATGGTTACAAGCAATCCCCTGTTCTCTCACTGCTGCCTCACTGAGCTTGTGCTCAGTGCTCACATAAAAACATAGGATTATCACTCCCGTGTAACACATGGGGAAACTGAGGTGACAGAGATTACACATCTCCTGAATTTTAGTTTTTATCCTTTCTTTGTCAAAAGACTCAAGTTAATGGTCCTGTCTGGATTATCCTAACAGCCTCATCACTGCTGTCATGCAGACAAGGCCCTCGTACAGAAGCACCAGCAGGAGTATTCAGGGTTGAGCTCCAGAGATACTTATTAAAGGCATCAGGCCCTTTACACATAACCGGTGGGAGCCGAGTGCCTAAACCTGCTTGATGCTTTGGGCTCCAGCGTTTCCAGGCTGCAAACCACCTCTTCATCATACACAAAGCACTGAGGGGGCTCCCCAGGGTGTCCCCACTGCAGCAACTACATGGAGGAGAAAGAAGCTCGAGCACAGCTCAGGAGATGACCCAAGGGCACATGAGGTTGGGATTTAAGGGCACAAAGACTGAAAAGCCAAGGATACCGAACAAGACCTGAAGTTGTTCAACAGCACGGTGGGATGCTGTAGCCAAAATAAGGAGAGACTCATTTCCCCAGATGCTACTGATGGGATCAACTGCAGCCAGGCCGGTGTCCACATTATGAAAAGCAGCCACAAAAGCAGATTTCAGAACTGGCAAGAAACTGCCTTACAACGCCTTACTGCCTTAGTTAGAGGCCTCAAACTGTTTAGTTCATGACAAAAAGAATAGATGACTCAATTACAGCACGTAAGCACCTTCAGGGTAAAAACCAGCATGTGATAAAGAGATTTTTAGTCTGGTAGAGAGAGGAATAAACAAGAACCAATGGCTGGGAGCTAAAACAAGAGAAGCTCAAAACAAGGAACCAGGCACAGGCTGAAGAGAGCAGGATGATCAGGGAAGCAGCATTCCCACCATCCGCTGGGGCATCCAGAGCTGACATGGGTGCGTCCTGGCAGCACGCTCTGCCCCGACACATGACTCTGTGCAGAGGCGTCGGACAAAAGTTCCTGGCCTCTGCGGTGACAGGGGTCTCTGCTGACCTTGAAGGCAATCTCTGGCAGAGATGATGGGCAGAGAGGGTGAAACAATAACGAGAGGCTGCTGGAAAGATCATATTTCATGCCGCTGATTTATTCTTTAAAATCTTATCACCCTCACCATAGCAAGCTTGAAGCAAACAACACTCTCCCGTGACTGTAATCACCTCTCCCAAGGAGCTTCAGCAGCAGAGGAAGGGGAATTGCATCCAAAACACACTTGCAAGGAGAAATGAACTCACACAAACCCCACAGGACCACTGCAGGGGGAACGGGACAAGTCCTGTCTGACTCCAGTTACGGACTAACTTGCAGCTCCTGTTTACTCCATCCTGCCTGTGAAATCCCTGAAATCCCATCACCCTGCCTGAGCTACTGAACGAGGTTGAGCTTCTACAGCAAAGAGCAGGAAACCAACAGCATTAGCAGCAAATCACACATCAGCAAAACTCTCCCTGCCGGCATCCCCTGGGCCAGGCCGCTTCGATGAGGATACACAATCGAATGTCTCCCTGGCACTGGGCATCGCCCCTGCTACCAGCACCCCAGAGATGGGGCTGCACTGGTTAAAGCAGGTAGAAGCCAAAATGGCCAGTGGGCGGTTGGGAGAATTAATAAAAATACATAAATGTGTTTGGCAAAGAGAGTCGATTCAGGGAGGAGCTTTTGTCTGGACATCTCAGAGCTTCCTGGGAGGTTTAGTTACCCAAAATGGTTTTGCAAGCCTGAGATTGTTCCCCACTGACCGACTGCACCTACCTGCAACATGGGTGAGGTTTTTTTCTCTCCCTGATACTTCTGTACAAGGGGAAATGCTCCCTGGGACACTCAGGCTGTGCCTGGAAAGTGCTGGATGAATGTAAATTATTTGTGCCAAAGATATTCCGAAAAGGCAGAGCCCGGCTGCCTGCCTGCCAACGACTGAGCCCCATGGCAGCACCAGTGCCCGCTCTGGGGCAGACCCAGCAATCCTGCACAGGATTTTCTGAAAAACTGAAGTGATCCCTGTAGGTACAAAGGCTCAGTGCTTCCCAGCTGACTGTAGAAACAGCTTTTGCCCAAGGGAGACCGAGAAAACACTGATCTGCTTGGATCTGACATTTCCAGCAGCGAACCAGAGCAGAGGCAATCCTGAGAGCCCCTTGGACCAAAACCCTCTGCCTCCTGCAACGCACCATCTCCTGCTTCCGACTTCTCCATCCCTACTTGTGCTGAATGCAGCACTCCGCTGGGCTAATACCGCCCTGAGATTTGCCACCAGCCACTAAAGGGGCTAAAATGCTAATGATTATCCTCTCAATAAAGGGCTGTTTTTTTTTTTCAAAAAAAGCATCGAAGTGGCTTTTTCAGCTTTCAGTTGTTAAGTGCCTTTTTAGTTAGACCAGCTGTTCTCTCCTCCAAGCTCTCTAGAAACTCTCTCTGGTTAATCCCATTGACTCCAATGATATCTGCTAATTGCATCCTTCCCTGCAAATGAAGCCAGTCAACAAGCCATTACAGATTCCTACTGATACTTAATCTCGGAGGCCAGACATCTTTGCTTACCTTTTCAGAAGGGAACTTCAGGAGGTCTAAGCTGTCCATGCTGTTCCTTTGGAGTCTCTTTGGCCTGGCTCCTGCAAAACAACGCACTCGCACATCAGGAGGGTGTCACTCACCGACAGCACTAATGTCACACAGATAAAATTCAAACCACGGCAGACCCTCTGCTCCTGTTAACGACAAAGTCAAAAGGACGGGATGTTGCAGCTGTGCTGTCCTTGAGGTTCAAACGTGGGGTTTTTTTTCTCTATTGTTTTGGGTCTTTTTTCAAAACACTATCACAGCACAGTCAGCAACGGCAAGGGCTGCGTGAAGCTTTTGCTATCGAACCAGTAGCCGGGTCACACTATGACCCTGATCTCAACTGAGGTCTCTGGAATTCAGGAGTTACAAACCCCACTCTAAGCCACAAGTCATGGGAAAAATCGTAACAAAAATATAGTTTAATACATCTGTGGATTCGTTGCTTTATCTTCATGTTTTTAACTTAAAGAATGTCTCTGGGACACAGCTTTGAGCTCTTCTCTACAGTCACAAGGTCTATAAAACTAAGTGAAGGAGCAAATATTTTCTAACTATCATAAGCCCAGCCTTAAGGGGAGAGATACCTTGTCCTGAACCTGATAAATAAATCAAAATTTGGCACCATACATGATATTTGAGACTTCATAAAATTCATTTTAATGTAGTATTCCAGCAATAACAGAGTTGGTGAAACACAGTTCAGCTCTGACTCCCGCTTTCCAAACTCTCTCTTCGTGTCTCCCCCCAACCTGCTTCCAGCTGCTATTGCCTCGCTCACTAACAGCCAGGATTTACCAAATGGCCCCGGGATGCCTTCACCACACCTGGTAAAAACTGCTCCCCTTCCCTGATCTTTCCTGAAGGTTCAGTTTAGCTGAGCACCACATGACACCCCAGAGCAGCACCACCAAACAGGGCAGAAACAAAAGCTCTGGACTCAAGGTCCCATGACAACTCCCGAGCTTCGGGGGAAATCCTGGGGGAGGGTGAATGAATGCATGTGGATTGAAACCCATCCCCCCGGTGAGCCCCTGAGAACGGAAACCACTGAGCTTTGTGCGGTTCCTGCAACAGCAAACTCACCAAACCTAAAGATTCACCAGTTTCCCACCACCGAACGGCACCGCTGCTTATGTTACAGCAGCCCCCAAGGACCCTGCTCAAACCCAAGGTGTCACCGAGCTTGTTCCCTGGACAAACTTAACGAGAGAGGAGGCACAAAATTCATAAACCAATTCAAGGCTGACTGTAAGCAGAACACGGTGATTAAATGGAAAAAGCCACCAGGCAGCAGGGATTCCTGCACTACCACACACCCAGCTCAGTCAGGGCTCCAGACGCGAGCACAGGTCAATCTAAACTGTATCAACTCCAACAAACAACTCAACCTCGCTCAGCTTCCTGAGATACAAGACAAGCTCAGGCCAGCCAGGACTTCACTACGGGTCACGCACATATATCACGTTTTAGTTTATAAATGACCTAAAGTTAATTTCACTGCCCCCTCTCACCCTGAAGCGATTTACTTCTTGCAGCCATAAAAACTCAAATCAGCAAAATATTTCTGCACATCCCTGTCTCCCCAGTCCAAAAAGCACATTAGCACCAGCTTCACTTTAAGGTGATTTCATTACCAGGCTTTGAGTTCAGCAGGCACCGACAACAGGGCTGGTGAATAGGGGCGGAACAGATATCGATGCGAATACGCAGAGAGCAAGGAGAACCCGTAACGATAAGCCGGCGTTATTTCTGCCAAAGTCTCCCCCCTCCCGCAAGGCAAAGCCGGTCGCTCACTTGGCAGCGGCTCAGTAACAACAGGATTTGATCCCGGAAGGTCAGCGATTGCTGCTGACTCTGGCAAGGGTTCAGACACGGGGCTGCTGTCCCTTTGGAGCAGGCAGGAAAAAAGGACTTTGCTGCCCTCAACAAAGCCGGCAGAACTCTTGATTTTATCATTTTTCTTTCAGTCTTTGCTTATGTTTACTAAGATCTGTTATCTAAGGTATCATGTTTGCTAACATATCCTAAGCACCTCCTGCGAGCAGGCTGGGAAAGGCTCGTGCTGTTGGATACCAATGAAACAACGCGGTTATTTGGTGGCTGAGCACATCTACTATCACATCTACAGGCTGGATGTGCGCTCAGCCACGAAGACAGCTGAAACCACCCAGCCTGAGCCCTCTCCCACCACAAAATGGAAAGTGTTGCACCACTCTTGGTGGGTAGGCAGAACCCATCACCCTGACAGAGAGCGGGTCACTCCACACAGGGCTCCCCCCTTCCATGTGCTAAATGCCACCCAAGCCTGCACCCCCCAGGGTATCGGTGATACCAGCTGGGGGGACCCACAAGACACCCCACACCCAGCTCCCGTCGCTCTACCGTGCTCCCACCGGCCACCCATGGAGAAGGTTGCCCCAGGTCTCCTCCCACGTTGCCAAATGAGCAAAGGGCTTTTGGCTGCTGCCACACTGGTCAGGCGGGAGCTCAGCGAGGGGAAGGCAGTGGCAGATTGTGCCCAGTGGCTCCTGGTTACACACGGTGACGTTCCGGACATTGCTATAGCTGCTCACAGCTTCTCTCAGAATAACCTACAGGCTCATGCGTGGAGCAGGAAGGTGGGTCTGGAACAAAAGCCACCTACAAACACTTAATCAGATGGCAGGTTTGGGTTTCAAAGCAATGCCCAAGAGGCAAGGCCAGCATCTGGAAGTGATCGTGCGTCACAGCGGCTTTTAACGGCCACTTCCAGGAAAGCAAGAAAGAAGCAAAGTGTGCCTGATTAGATAAACACACGTAATTTCCAACAGTCTAAAGAGTTGTTAATTATACACCTCCGTCCTCAGGTGCTTTTGTACGTTTGCAATAGCATTAGACCGCTGGCCAGAAACCATTAATCTCTGATCTGAGAAAACCTGCCTTCCCCTTTGTTAATTTAATATATGTAGTCAGCCGAGACTACCCCAGCAATTAGGGCATGCAGAACAATTTGTCTTTTTCCGTGGTTTTGATGCTGGTGTTCCTCTGTTACCATGTGGATTTCACATTCAGTTTGAGCTAAGAGAGGAAGAAGTTAAGAGTTACAAAGTCAACTTCAGAGCCACCCAACTCGGCTATTTTCTTCCAGAAGAGAACGCAACCAACACCGGAGCCAAACGCTGGCCTCACAAAAGCCCACGGTTCTGCCATCCCCACTCACCACGAGCCACAGGTGGAGTGAGCAGCACCATCAGAACAAGCAGCTAGAAGAATTAAGATGCTACGGGCGATCATAAATCGGATCGATACAGGCAGCAATTCCCAGCACACGTGTGGGAGCTTCTCCCCTTTACCCCCCAGAAGACAGGCTCGGTAGCCTGCATGCACCCATCCTCCAGGAGAGCAGAGAGATTTCCATACTCACAAGCACCCCACGACAGAAGGAGTCCCATTAACTTTCCAACTCCGACCAGGACATATTCCCTCAGGTGGCTCCAGATGTAACTTTCAGGCTCCTGAAGTTATTTTTCCCAGAAATATCTGCAGCACCGCTTAATACTCAGCAAAAGTTCAACTCGGTCTCTCTCCTCGGTGCCGATCAACAGTGGCAGCAGCAGTCGTGGATGCAAAAGATTGACCAGCTGAAAACCCGGGTCTGTTCCTCTGGAAGGCTTTTTCCTCTCCCTCCAGTATTTATTGGCATGTTTACCAAGTCTACTGCAGAGTAACGGAAAACCTCAGGGGCATTTCTAAATGCTCTCTCTGTCTTTAAGGTTTACTGAGGTCTCTAATAGAGCAAGCTGAAACCTTCTTGTGAACATCAGCTGAGCAACACGACTGACTGCCCGTATTCATGCCTCGATTTCCTGGAGCTCCTCGGATGCTGTTCTTTTCGCTGCTCAGACTCAGGGTTGTCGTTTCTTTTTAAAATATTTTTTTTCAAAATCTCTTCCCTCCCCATCCGTGATCTCAACACCACCACGAACCAAGGGGAATTTTAAATTTTTTTTTTTTTTTTTTTTTTTTTTGCACGTTTAACGGTTTTCACATTCTTGTATTTTAAAACTCGGTGAAGCAGTCACCTCCCTCCCTGGACGGGAGCAACTGACTCTGAGGAAGGAGAAATTCACTGCAACAGAGCAGAGGGCAATGCGTGTGTGCTTGCCTGGCATGCATACGAGACATCCTTGCTTCCCCCTGCTTCCCCAATCCCCCCATCTCACAAACACTTCCTATTCTGCTCTCTTTGGGACACTAACCCAATATATCCATGTCAGATACCCACCTAGGTCCATTTTTTTTTTTTTTCCTCACATCTCCACCCTGCAGAGACGGGGATGGCCCCTCCGCACGTCCTTGTGCTCCCTGGGATAACACGGATACAGGAACCTTTAATCCACAATCTCTTTATCACAGGCAGAAGTTCGGGAGTGCACACTCCCTACTTTCCTTGGGCTTTTTAAGATGATCAGTGTAGAGCTGGGCCGGACCCCGCATGTCTGATGGAGAGGCTAACCCAGAGGGCTGATACAGTGCACGCAGCGAGCACAGCATCTCCGTCCCACATTCTTCTCCTATCCCCTTGGTATCCATCACCAGCTCCATCCAAGGCGTATGGACTCCAGAGGGAAGGACTCTATTCCTGTGCCACAGGCAGGCCCTCTAACAGGCAAGTCATCGGTTTTCAGGGTGTAATTAGAGGAGAAATGCTCACGCAGCAAAAACTCTCTAGCAGTACCCTCTACAAAGGGAGATGCAGCCACAGAATACACAAGGAAGCATTTTGTTGTAGGATGGTGATGGGATCATCCCATGTAAGCTCGCAGTAGGGCAAAGCTGGATAGACAGCGTGGGTAGAGCTCTGTTCCTCTACGGCCAGTCTCCATATCCAGCCGGAGCTCCTGAGATTTCGGAGTTGACAAGATCGAGCAGAACACGTGTAGCAGCGACGCAGGGAGCCCTGCCAGGAGCTCTCATCAAGTTGACACGTGCTTTGAGAACTCTTAGGCTCTCCCCCATCTCCAGCAGCTTGGAGAGCTGCCTACTCCATCCCTGTTTGAGATGTAGCAAA